GAAACTGAGCAAACTCAGGGAGGCAGTGAAGGACAGGAAGGCCTGGCGCAATATGGTTCATGGGGTCACGAAGAGTCGGACACGACTTAACGACTAAACAACAACAACAAAGGCATGTGAGACCAAATACTATTTGCAGGAGGACAAATGAGATGGAACAAATTAAACCAACTTCTATGTATTGCACTGGCTTAAACACTAAGCAATCACTTCATTCTAAATACTAAGCAATCACTTCAAAGGAAAGTAAGCAAGCGCCTTGGTTCCTTGTTGCATCATGTTTAATCATTCACTTGTGGGAAATAGTTGATCTACATGTTATAACAGATGTTATGGTTCAAAACAAGAGCTTACCTTTCCTTTCTCATATCTATAGGGTTTCCCACATTGTAATTTAATGGTTCATATACATCCTCATTAGCAGGGAATTTCCAGAGGATGTGATGCAAATGATCAGTTCAATTTGATAGGACAGAGGCATTCAGAAATCATTTTGCTCAGCTGTTGTATCCACAATTGCAAAAACAGCAAAATGTTCCAGATCTAAACTCCATTGTGGGAAGAAAATTAATAAAAAGGTGAGTGAACTACATGCAAGGGAAAGGTGGAGAATAGCTGAGGGAGGATTAGTACACAGGGAATAAATGAGGGAAGCACAGCAGTTGGAAAGAAAATCTTCAATGTTGTGTCCTGTACACGTCATGCCCCTTTTTATCTTGTCTGCAAGTTTTCAATTTATACCAAACTGCATAAGGTAGCTTTCAATATGAGTGACCTAATAGGTTTTAGAGTTGACAAGTGCTGCTTTATGGTGAGTCTGGTTTTTGTACAGAGAGAATCCCAAAATATGGTGTTGGTATCTTTTAATCTGTGAACTGTTTTCCCCCATGCTGTTTAACATATATATGAAATTGATAAGACCATTTGTATAAAGCTCTGGGTATTGGTGCCATGCTAAGAGAAACTTGGAAGTTCTGAAACTTAATTTAGAGAAAACAGAAATGCAAAGAGTTGATATAGGCATAGAACACAAGTCTCTGCTACATGAGGTATCTTTCTCTCTGAAAACACTGAATTCTTGTGTGGAGATTCTTCTGAACCCATCCATTTTAGGAATGGATGCCTAGGTGACAGCTGTGACCAGAAGTGATTTTTCCAAGATCAGACTTACTTTTCCATGGGAGCTGCCTTTGAAAAATGCCCAGAAGCTTCATCTTGTAAAAATGTGGCACCCAGATTATTTACTTGGAGTAGGTAATGTATAACCTTACTGTGGAAACAACTGCACTAGCTATCCTTTCTCAACTCAAAGTGCTAATTATTGCCTATAAAATCCTACTTAGTTGAGGCAAGGTAATGGATAGCCTACCTGCTCTTTCAACACAATCAGCAGAAACCACCTTGTATTTTTCACATTTGTTACAGGGACAGACCAGCTGCAGCCCTCCAGATACTGCCAAACCACAATTCCTTCAGCATCCTTCAGCATCAAGTATACTAGCTAGGCTGCTGAGAGTTGAAATTGAAAAAACCAAAAGAATGTAAATATTGGATTGCCTGCATATATCTCAATAGATACTTTATTAAAGCTTTAAACCTTTATATAACAAAATGACATCAAATACAATATTTTCTTAACCATCAGTCTTCTACAGTAATGTCTAGAGTGTGTTTATTTATTAAATTTGTGTGCCATCAGTTTAATTACCACTTATGGCAGCATACATGTTCTTTTTAATCCCCATCCCAGCATATTCACAGGTGTTTTTAAGTGTACTAAAACACAAACATAGCATGTAGTTAACTCAGATTAACCTTAATCTTGCACATCTGCTCTAATTGCTAGGCATTGATTTTTACAAATTATAAAATCTTCCCTTGAAACAATGCCATCTGATGGGACCCAGGAGAGGTGCCTCTTCCACTCCGGTGCCTGACCTCTAGAACAATCTCTCTCACAACATGCACCCCAAGATTGGCTCCAGACCTGTTAGCCTTTAGAAAGGCACTTTTCCTTAGGAGCTGGAGCCAGAAATTCTCTGTGACAACCTTGCTATTATGGTCTGCTTTTATGATGACAAGTCTTCCATTCTTATCATCATAAAAAGGAAGCAAAGAAGCATTTTTTCATCCAGACCTTTTCAGTATATGGTATTTGAAAGAAAGCTTCAGTTTGCTTCTTTGTCTTTGCATGTGGTAGCGCCTGCCTGACCTTCTCTGGGATCAGAAGCAAAGGAAGGCCAGGCTTAAATATACTTGGAAGGGGGACCTCCAGGAATAGGAAGACAGACTGGAAGATGAAAAGATATAGAAACTAGTTTGTTTCTAACATTTGAGGGGTCATATTATAATGCCCAAATTTATAATGATCCAATTTATCTGGATGAGGTTTAAACTGTTTCATGCCTATAAACTCTTGTAGATGGAATTCCTGGAAAGATGAGATTTCTACTATGATTGAGTATTTATTTATTTGGCCAACATATCGTGTGAGAATATTCTAAATACCAGCTTCTTTCCATTGCTTCTTTAGCCTGAAAGAGCTGAAATCAAACATAGGAAAATTAATACAGTGGTACCTCGGGATACGAACTTAATCCGTTCCGTGAC